TTAGTTACAAAACAGAATGGAGCAGATATGTAATATCGATACACGAGTAAGATTAATGAAAGTTAAAGAATGCTTAAAGAACAATGGGTATCCAAGGAAATTTATTGTGAAATATGGGATATATAGAGACAAAATACCCAAGAAACTACATCAGAAAAGAAACCGATTTTCATTCAACTTGAATTTGAAGGTGACGATTTTGAAATAATTATAAAGAGAAGATCAAAACCATACTTAATAGGACTTATCCTACAAGCGGATTATTCTGCGCAAAACAATATGTGCCTTACTCCTGTCAGAGTTCGATAGGTACCCCTTCTGTGTTACAACCGATTGCGCATACAAATTTACATTTACCTACCTAGCAGTTACATTGGTTGAATAGAAAGAAGGGCCCGCGTTCGATTTCAAGAAGATATCCCATAAATCTCAGGTCAATGAGAGTAATGGCTTCTAGTAGTGTATTGCAAGACATCAAGTTGATAGACTGAAATCTTTCAGCATCATCAGTCGATACTCAAACTCACCGAAGCCATAGTCGACTTACGTCGGACTTAAGTTTCCAAAAGGACATAGTTGCAAATGTTCCCTCACCATAGCTACATTATCGCCAGTTTACTACATCATTCCTGCAGTTTTTTTCCTTGTTTTAAATGCATCACCTCCAAAGTATTCGCAACAATATGTCTTCAAACTCATCACTCCACCACTTATAAGTATGTAAACTTCACAATTATTTTGATTTCTTAAAATATAGGTCGTAAGCAGCTGGTGAGAGTCTTACTAAATGAAGTGAATTCATATTCCGCTCAACTCTTTGTTCTTACTCTCTTCAAGATAATGAGGGGAACTAAATGCATGAAACAAAATCAATGTCGACCTATTTTCTAATTCATGCATTACGTCTCACTAAATGGGCTTGCAAGAATCGTATTACTCGGTCACTCGAAGCACAGTAAAAGCTTGTGTTAATCTGAATTTGGTTTTCTATTTGTTTTTTATCACCAATAAGATCAACTTACGAGGAAAATGTATCTGATCCCAGTTGTTCGAACTGCTCTTAAACTTGATATGGTTGTAACTTACACGATTATCAGACCTGAATTTCTCAACAATATTGTTATTCTGTCTGACGTATTTTATGATTCATATTGTTTTTATTTCCATTATTGTGCCACGAGTGCAATAACTGATAATTAAACATTTAAACTGGTGTTCTTGTGATTATAATAATTATTATTCCATTTCCGATAACAACTCATTGCTTGTTGTGACCTTGTAGTTTAGTAAAGACTATCTAAAAATTACTTCACATGACTATTGAGTGATATTGTCTTGCTCCAAATAATACTAATGTTTATTAACCACTCATAGTGTTCTTATTTTAATGTTTTGTCCCTAAGAATTGTCAGACGTGGAGTCTTCAGATCTGTAACGTGTACACTGATTGTTTAAACAATAGCTACTCCATAGATGATCTCCAAGTGAAAAATAGTATCCACTGTTAGTTGCTCACTGAACCAAAAATGCCAACACAAGTAATAACAGCTGTTAGCAGAATTCATTTTATTCTCAATAATATACATAAATATTGATTATATTTCACCCAACGCATAAGCTATTGCAAAAGAAGAGCTTTTCCGGTCATTGATGAAGAAATAAATACGTGATTTCAATTACCAAGCCTATATCTCGCCACTCACAGATACTATGCATTAAGTTGACCACGTAGTTAACTGAATTTTTTTGCAAATATATCTGCTTTGTGCAAATGAGGTCCCGCCAAATCAACTAAGTTAACTCATAAAACATGGCGAACAACGTTGTCTTATGTTAACTTCTCCATTTCATTACCTGCTCGCTTCATTGATTACGAAAAAGCATTTGATAGTGTGGACAGAACAACACTATGGAAACTTCTTCGATACTACGGCGTGCCTCAGAAGATAGTCAATATCATACAGAACTCATATGATGGATTACACTGCAAAATTGTGCATGGAGGACAGTTGACAAACTCGTTCGAAGTAAAGACCGGTGTCAGGCAAGGTTGCTTACTCTCACCCCTTCTCTTTCTCCTGGTGATCGACTGGATCATGAAGACGTCAACGTCTGAAGGGAAGCACGGGATACAATGGACATCTAGGATGCAGTTGGACGATCTGGACTTCGCAGATGATCTGGCCCTTCTATCCCAAACGCAACAACAGATGCAGGAAAGGACGACCAGTGTGGCAGCAGCCTCAGCAGCAGTAGGTTTCAATATACACAAAGGGAAAAGCAGGATTCTCCGATACAACACAGAATGCACCAATCCAATCACCATCGACGGAGAACATTTGGAAGATGTAAAAACCTTTACATATTTGGGCAGCATCATTGATGAACAGGGTGGATCTGATGCAGATGTGAAAGTGCGGATCGGCAAAGCAAGAGCAGTATATTTATAACTGATGGACATCTGGAATTCAAAGCAACTGTCAACCAACACCAAGGTCAGGATTTGCAATACAAATGTCAAGACAGTTCTACTGTATGGGGCAGAAACCTGGAGAATTACGAAAGCCATCATCCAGAAAATACAGGTGTTTATTAACAGTTGTCTACGCAAAATACTTCAGATCCGTTGGCCGGACACAATCAGCAACAACCTACTGTGGGAAAGAACAAACCAGGTCCCGGCTGAGGAAGAAATCAGGAAGAAGCGTTGGAAGTGGATAGGACACACATTGAAGAAAGCACCCAACTGCGTCACAAGACAAGCCCTCACATGGAATCCTCAAGGCCAAAGGAAAAGAGGAAGACCAAAGAACACATTACGCCGGGAAATGGAGATAGACATGAGAAAAATGAACAAGAATTGGATGGAACTAGAAAAGAAGGCCCAGGACAGAGTGGGTTGGAGAATGCTGGTCAGCGGCCTATGCTCCATTAGGAGTAATAGGTGTAAGTAAGCTCACTGAATCAGTAGGAAGATGAACCAAAACTATAATCTCTACTGCCTCTAAAGCGACCATTTACGTTTCGATCAGTTTATCAATGCCGCTAAGTGGAAAATTTTTAAAACCAATACTCAGAAACGTGGATCCCTAATATTTTGCGACCTCATGGAATACATTTGGAAGTTAATATATATAAGAATTACTCTTCACTTAAATTTGTAGGTATAACTGAATGTACAATTTAGTGTAAATGAGAGATTTAGGTTGTGTTAATAGTAGTGTTTTGATCGGATGATATGATCACTTCGTCTTATTGGACATAGTACTATTCAATACTATGTAAAGTCCCTCACATGCCACTTATGGTTACGAAAGACTTGGAGTTGCGTGAATATTCTTAGTACTAATGTAATGAATAGTTAGTGCAGTTAATGTTGATTTAATTTGCAGAGTTAAAAGTCCTATGGTATAATCAAGGTATTTTCGACACATGATGACGACAAAGTGTCAAGTGCCACATCACGGACCTGACTTCACGAAGCATTACATAAACATTTCATTAGAAAGTAATACCTCTTTTCAATGATAAACAACCACAAAAGTAAAGTGAGAAATTTACAGACTGATGTATGACAGTATAATGGTTATAACAGCGAATACTGGGAAGGTTAAGACTTGCAATTATTTTACAGAGAATTATATAAAACTTCGTTTTCATATCACAAAATGATTGGTGTTATACATTAACATCTTTCAATGAAGGCTCCATTTATTATTTATTTTAACACATAGATATTGTTACAAGGAGGCAGCAAATACATATGCTCCACACAAATTTAATTTGATATGTCTAAGGGCTGTGATACTGCCCAGGTGCCCAAACTGAAGCAGGTGATTTTCTTAGGACAGTGAGTAGGACTTCCCTGGTAGAGGCTATATACGCGTGGCCATGTGAGAGCATTTCGAGAGGGAGAGCGGACTCTCCCCACTCTCGGCTGTACCAGGGCATTTGGGGGCAATCTCATGGAATACATTTGGAAGTTAATATATAAGAAGTACTCCACTTAAATTTGTAGGTATAACTGAATGTACAATTTAGTGTAAATAAGAAAGGGCTCCATGGTCTAGAGGCTGAGTATTCGCGCGTGAGACAGGCCCCGGCTCTGATTCTCGGGTGTGGGTTCACACTGCAGAAGAGTCTCATAATCAAACGGCTGCCGATGCTTCAAGGTTTTCAGTGGGGTTCTAGCTAAGATCATTTCGTGATTAGCGAATAACTGGGTGAGTATGTTTCTATATTCCCTATATTGTAAGATTCTGTTGGACTCAATAATTATTGCTAAACGTTGTACTATTTCTTCATTACTGTTAATTAATTATTTACAACTTGAACCGTTGCTTTACCACTCTGAGCCTGTTTGTGCATAAACTACGATTTCTCATTTGCGGTTCGATAATTTATGTACACAAACTCATGAATGTTCGAGGCGCAATGACTGAGTGAATAAAAATAACTTACCCGCTTTCTGTGTTCTCCTATTTAGGATTAAATACTAGATTAAAAAGCGTGCGTTCTGCACCAAGAGCAGTTGAGATTATTATGACCACAACTCAAGCTTAAATTGGTCTAAACTGAGGAAAGTATACTCCGTGTAGGGGATTATAATCAGCATCTTATCTAGTGATCCACTAAGAAACGTATAAAGAAGATCCGAGGATCGCAACAATAATAATCACCAGCTATCGGATGTAAGCGAAATCGCTTAATTATTGTGAATCAATTGAACTATCTCCATGAATCATGGACGGCAAATAAATTGTAACAAGCAAGACCTCAGGATACTGATTTTTATTCAGAGATATTTTGTAGAAATCCATATCTAAAGAGTTTAATGATATTTGTTTAATATTATTTGGCCTCCTATGTTTGTTTTACTAACAGATAACCGTGATGATAAATCGATTAATATAACAAAACCTTTTCTTTGAATTGTCTTGGTTTACAGGAAGTATGATGAAAACAAACGGGACGTATAAAGCGATTTGTATTTAAAATTAAAAATTTTACGAATAAATATTTGATTACATGATATCTACTGATAAATTTATAAATTATATAAACTGTTCGGATGGAACGTCATAAACACAGAAGTTGTATGTAAATCCATTCTCTGTGAAAGTATCCGCTGGTATATCAGGTAGACTAAACAAAAAGAAATTAAACTGGTTAATATGACAGTATTTCGAAAAGACATATGACATGCAGACTACTGTTTTTGACTTCTGAAATAATCAATACCATTTTGATGGCTGGTATTCTTAACTAGATTCAAATGTCGAAATTAGAGCGGTTATAACAACTTAACGACTGTTTATTTTCGGCGCCAATATGCCTTACTAGCTGACTGAAGGTAGGAGTTACCAAATATAGGAATAAGGTCCAATCAAAGATGATTTGCTTTTCTCGAGGATTTGTGTCCATTTCGGAGGATGATGACATCAATGTTACAATTTTAAGGCCTATTATAGAATAAGAAATTTTTCCAATATTAGCTGGCTGACTGATGCATTTAGTAAAGACGAATATATAGAAAGAACAACATTTGAATAGAGCCATATGAACTCATTTATTTCACTAGTTCCCTAAAACTCCTTAGGGGCTGGATAATTTGGTGGTGATAATTATAAACAGTTAACATTTTGAACGACTACTAAGGATGATTTCACATCTGTCGCCATGGAATAGTCCGCATTCCATGCTATCCATCTCAATCGACACTTTTTGAAAAACTAACGAAAGTGTGTAAATTCACTTTTCAGACAACTGATATCCACAAAATAGATAGACCATATTATTCTACTCAAATGTTGTACTTGTTTCGTTGAGATTTAAATAGAAGTAGAATTGTGATTGGATAATTTGTGGATCTGTTGATGGACTTCAAATACGATGACTACAAAATACTGAACTACAAATAAATCAGTAGTTTCATCCATTTATTTATAATTATACATAAAATAAAGACCCTCATAAGGAGTATTGGAGAGTTTAAATACTTACTCAACTTTTTTCAGTTTACTCCAATCGAGTTTTGGGAAATAAGTATCGCAGTCCACCTCATTTAGTATGTGCGTACAATAGATACGAACCGGGTATATGGATTGTTTCAAGGCCTCCTAAATTGAGAAAATATAGGTTGTTTGTAAATACAAAAGCCTAAGTTTAAATAATTCGAACTCAGTTGCACACAATAATTTCGCCTACACGATAGAGTTCATAAAGTGCTCATGGTTACTGCTTTGATTAAACGTGAAAAAAATTTTGTGGTTCATTTAAATGTCCCATTACATACAAAACCCCTAATGACTACCAACCATCCGACTTGTGTAAGTTCATAAATATGGCCGTACAAATGACAAACCTTTTTTTCTAAAATCTCAGCTTAACGCCCGTTAGGTGTCCAATGAACGAAACTAAGTCTGTCGAATTTCCATCCAGATCGTATCTAAATAGACACAAGAAGATACTCTTTTACCCCTAAGGTAACGCTCTCAGATAGGCATGTTTATCAAAACTGAAACAGTTTTCTAAACACCTTCGAAATAGATAGGTGAAATCATTAGGTCCTTTTTCGATTTCATTCCTTTTCCGATCGCGTTCTCTAACTCATTATTTTACCATCGTAGACTATATCAATACTCTTAGTTCTTCGTTGTGCAACTTGTTATTCTTCTATATAAGCATATTTAAATCGATCAGACACCAGTTTTAGGAACACACGAAGGTAAAATAAACGAATAATGACAATAAGATTACTGAAAAGATATATATATATATATATATATATATATATATATATATATATGGAATGATGAATTTAATAAGTGGAGGATAAAGGAAACTAATGTACTGTATTATTATACAGTTGATTTTTCTAATTATTTGACCGTTTTTCTCACTAATAAAAGAGCAAACGTTAATAAATCTTAAGAAACAATAAGAAAACACCTAATAGGTCCATACGTTCTATGGTTAATTAGTCTAGAATAATTGTGCAGAAACCTTCAGAGGTACAAAATAGGGCATAAAATCCAACTCACCTCGTAAAGACGATGCCCACCAATGATAAAAACCTCATCTACTATGGAGCTGAATTCTTCATTATATAACAAGTCAATGGCTGCATTAAGATTGGGAACAATTTGAACACGTGGTGGTGCGCTTGAAAGGATCGGTAAGTTATAAGTAGGAATTACTGTGATAACGTGCTTGATACCACTATGTTAATCCTATCCTTTAGTGGTTTGAAGCTCTCTGGTATAGATTCCCATGTAACTCTCCCCATAACAACCGCATTTTTGAGACCTGGATTTATTTTCAGGTTAAACACTTTACCTGGATGAGCTTTAGTTGTTACTGACTTGAAAAATTCCATGTCTTTCCTGAAAGTAAATAGCAAGCTTAGTACATTAGTGCAACATTTGGATTATATAACGACTACAATAGCTCACTGAAATCAAACGAATCAAAGCGACTAAGCAATAAATTGGTGAGTATTTTCGATCGATTGCTTGTTTACATTACACTTTTAGGAAATTCTGACGTTAATTTTATTGATCAGAATAATATATGAACCACATTGAAGGGATAGTTAGCCAGTCGCAAACGATGTAGGGCCTGTACGTATGTACATCGGCTCAAGTTGCCGTACCCATTAGCATAGAGAAATAAAGTTGTCAGGCTAATTCCCAGAATAGCAGAGGTAGTAAAAGCATCAGTGGTGATAGGAAATATTAAGCATCGAGGAAATGATTCGAAAAGAAAATATAAAATAGCGAAATAAAAACAAAAATAGTCGTATGGACATTAGAATATCAGGATTTGGGTGAAGCCAGAATAGGTGAACCCGCGCAATTGAAAACGATTTTGAGCGATGTCATTCGAAGTTTCTAACCATTGGTTATGATAATCACGCGAACGTAAACAAAGCAATATGTACCTATTAACATGGCTAAGTTCAATTATCAGTGACTTTATAGAATGATATTATGTTTTGGTTTGGCCGCCCCTAACACTCTTCCAGCCTGCTCTTGAACAAGATATAATAAAAATGCAACTTAGTTATCATAAACAGGTTCGTGTGATTTACTTTTGGCCATATCTCTTACACGAGGGTTATTGATACTATTCTGGAGCTAAAAATTAAGTAGATGATACATGGTTCGAACCTAAGACCTACCCTTTAAAAAGCCAAATAACCACTACTTGATAAAGCCACTAATCGTTGGAGAGCTAGTCCTGGAGAATAATCATCTCAAAAACACTTGATTTAGTTACTTTGTTGGAAAAAAACTACTTTGGGTTAACCATAATCACTGAAGTATCCATATGATGTTGACAGTCTGTTTACAACCGCCCCGTATGAAGCTTTGAGAATAAATGAGAAGCGCTGAGATTATAATTTATGGACGACCTTTGAGTGACGCCAAACTGACTATGAGAGTCTTCACCTAACAACTAGGACCAAATGAGGGTTATAAAACAGTTTGAGGAATTAGAATTATGATTTACAGTTGATGGTTAGAGCTAGAAATTACATTTAGGGTTTTCATCACGAACTGACACCGGCTATAATGCCAAAACTCTATTTAGCCAAGTAGATGGGTGAATTTCGCGCCGAAATCCGAGACTCGTTATCTTAGACCTGATGGGTTTGCCACTAAGTTATAGTCTCTCAAAAGCGCCTAGTATGCACCAGATTTGCTTCATCATGTCGTTAGTCTGGCTGTAAGAGGATAAGTGTATAATATGACGGTGAAATTGTTGTGTTGAAGAAAACCGACCAAATTTCCATTGGTTATTTCAGAAGTCCAATTTTGGTTATTGTTGCCTTCAAATGACTGCTAAGACTTTGTAGGAACTCTTGCCAACTAGTCGTAGGACTTGAGAACATGTTTTACAGTAAGGCAGAATGGTCGTCTTATGAGTATTATTGTATTCAAATACTGAATTCAATGTCTTGATTAGCCTATACATATGATCCCAACGATCCCCAATATTGCATATTATTCTCAGACATTAGGGCCAAGTATATAAAACCAGTTCGACTATTTTATTACAGTCGCGTGCTATAAAAAATGTATCGGTTAAATTAACAACTCGACTTGTTAAAAATCCGCTGGTGATGTGCCGAACATCCCGGAACTCTATGGTTCCGGGCTGTCAAAAATAGCTTAGAATAAAAGGTGTTTTTTCCGATCTGTAAAAATTTGTCTTGACTGTTTTCTCACTTAAGTTATACAGTTTAATACATAATAATACTGCTTGTCCACTTTATTTGCTGACTAGACATTTCTCCTATTCCAACTATTTACTACACCTTTACTTTCCTTGGTAGTGTACTGGCGAGGCGGGATGCAGTCTACTGCTCACTGCTAGAGCTCACATTTATAATGAAAGAAAATTTTTATAAAAATACTCAACCGCTGAAGCATCAATAGCAAAGTTTTCAACAAAAGTATTCATAAAAATACTTGCTTGCCGAGTAAGGTTGACGGTCTCAGTACCTAACTTTTAAACATTGGAACGCTATAGTCAAGTCAGTTTGAACAATACTCTTATCTTTTACAACAGAATTATGAATCAGGTCTTAAAATACGTGGCTCCCAGATTGCACCTAATTGCATGTTTTTCACGAAAAAACCAACACTAATAGAGAGTTCTGGAATTTGAGTCTTCAGCCTTAATAATTGAGGTGCATATATTACATATATGTGATCAACATACATGTTGATTGAAAAATATTTGTTTATAATATATGTTTAGGTTCAGCGTATATACGCTCAACCTAAACATATACAACCCAAACCATTAGCAAGTCCAGAAAAACACGAAAGGTAACCATTGCTGATTTAGGAATCACCAAAATATCTGTCTGCACCAGTCTTCTAGAAGTAGATATCTATAGGGAGGTGGTAGTCAAATATTTGACTATCACATATGTAATAAAATTTTAGGTGTAATTTTATCCAGAATTGAATGGCTATTTAACCAACTTTTAAGAGCAATCTGTTAAGGAAGACATAGTCTACTTGAAATGTTTAAGGTCTTCATTACCTTTTAAAACCCTGCAAACTATTCGATCGAAAAATCTGAGTAAGTTTATGAATTATAATTGTTTACTTCAAAATATTAAACGACTCAGTATGCTATCGAGGCTGAACCTTACTTTATTTTCCAAGGCAAACCTCCACACTTCCCGATACCCCAGTTTTCAGAAACTGCAACAACAACATTTAGACGCATGTTTTATCGCGGAATTGACCTTGTAGTCCATTAACGCGGGTTCAGTCTTCAGTAATAAGGATAGTAGGTTAGTGAACCTGTGTTAATCCTGAATGCTCGCCCTCCAGTGAAGGTCCAGCTCCTACTTGAAAACGCTCATTGGTGTGGCTGATATCATTTGTTTGGGTAAGGCGTTTCAGTAATTGACCACTCGAGACATTTCCTCGTCAAGGCATTTGAATGCTCGGCGAAGTGACCATAACTCACGAAAACCTTTGAGAGCAACTGCGTTGCAATGCGTAGTTGTGTTTCAAGTCATGATTCATTATTACTCCTAAGTCTTTGTGTCCTTGAACGCACGGAAGGGGTTTACCATCGATAATATAATGGTAACGATTACCGTGACCGATGTGCATTGCCACACTCTTCCTAGAATTGATTGGTAAGCCACAACCTCGAGCCTATCTAATTAAATCGTCTAAGTCAGCTTGGGGATTCAAATGATCAGCCTCACTTTTTATTGTTCTCCAGATTTTTACGTCATCCGCAAACAATAATGTCGACGACCTAAGCAACAGCGGTAACTCGTTAACGTAGAGAAAGAAGAGCAGAGGGCCTAAGATGGTGCCTTGGGGTACACCAGTTTTGACCGGCTTTCAATCAGATAGCGTCTGCGGTCACATAAGAAGTTGCCTATCCACTCCTGTACAGTACCTATTATTTCGAAGCTCGTAAGCTTCTGCATAAGACCTACGTGTGAAACCTTGTCAAATGCTTTGCTAAAATCTATGAATATCACATCGACAGATAGGCCTTTACCTAAGGCTGATGTTCAATCCTCTCTCGCGATAAGCAAGTTAGTCAAGCATGAACGCGTGTGTCAATCTATGTGGCTTAGCAACCTAATCCGAATTATCTTTTCAACCAACCTGACGACAATGCTAGTTGGACTGACAGGCCGATAGTTAGATACTATCTGTCTCTGACCGTCCTTAAATATAGGACTAACTATAGCGTCCTTCCAATCTCTAGGGAGTTGGGCGAGTGAGAGGGACATGTTGAAGAGTGTCGCAAGCGGTTTTGAAATAATGTCCGCAAGAGATGACAGCAACCGTGGATGTAACCCGTCAGGGCCCGGTATCTTACCAGGTTTGAGGTTAGTTATCAACGGAAGGACAGTTTCCTCAGTCACCTGTACGGATTCAATGGTTGGTACCTCGGTGTGAGTGGGACAAGTATTTGTTACAATAAACGTAGAGTAGTTTGAAAAAGCCTCAGCTTTTGCTCGATCTGAATCAGCTAGTAAATCTGAATTTTCGTGTAACAGTAACGGGGGAATACCATCACTACGTTTCATTCGCCGTTTAACATACGAAAACAATCGTTTCGGACAAGTACGGCTATCATATACTAACTGTCGTTCGTAAGTGGTAAGGGATTTGGCTACGGTCTTCTTACAAATGGTTTAGTGGAATGTCACAAACTTATGGTATTGATGCTGATTTATCACGCGAAATACCTCATTAAATCGTGTTACGAACGCTGAATCAGTTTCACTTCCTATCCAGAAATCCTATTACAAGCAAACTAGACAATTCGCTAATATACGAAGCCTACTCAAGACCCTATAATACCTGAAAAATAATAATAATACAAAAAAAACGAAAGTGACTCTAATAGCTTCGATAATAAAAGATAACCAATTGTATATCACAATACTGTTTCCAGCGCTATATTTTATTTTATAACCACACATCCCATACTCTCAGCTCCTTTCCGAATCGCCTCCATTTGTCAGTTGTATGCCCACCCACACTTTGTTAACACCTATTTTCTTTGACCTATTAAAATGCTCTTTCTTAACAAATACCTTAACAAAAGAAAATTAGACTGAGCAATCTTACCTTAAACATTCCTTCAAGAATATTGGCTACTCTGCCTCTCGTGTTTTCTTTTACTTGCTCCCTCTTTCAGCCCCCTTGTGATATGGAACGAAAGATTTTATCCTGCACCATCCTCAAAGCCCTAGACATTCCAAAGGGACATAAGGTTGCGACATTTAGAAGCTCCCATCTTCAATGGACCTATCGGCGAGACTCTAATTTAAGGATGAGCCAATCAGAAGCGTTTGAGCAATTTCAAGGTCACGGAGCCAAGTTCAACAGGCGATGCTAACATACGATCGGTTCACAGCGGATTTTTGAGAGTAGGTGATTAATGAGAGGTTACAATAGATGGGACGTCGGGTCTTTAATTTAGGGACGAGCCAATCAGAAGCGTTTGAGCGATTTCAATTATTAGTCAATAAGAAGACAGCATAAAGTAAAAATATATTAGAAGAAAGTAATGAATTACAGTGAATATTCTTCTTTTACATGATTTAAAGACTCGTATGTTAGCATCCTAACCCTAACACTCACCTAACCCTAACCCTAACCTTAACCCTAAACCCTAAACCTTAACCCTCAAATAACCCTAACCTTAACCCTAACCCTAACCTTAACCCTAAACCCTAAACTCAAACCCTAACCCTAAACCTAAACCTTAACCCTCAACTAACCATAACCCTAACCTTAACCCTAACCCTAAACCCTAACCTTACCCGTTAACCTAACCCTAACCCAATGGACGAGTTTCTATTCCACATGCATCGTGAATTCAGAACCTCTGAACCTTAATCAAACTTTAACAAGTTTTTAAATCATGTAAAAGGAGAATGTCCACTGTAATTCATTACTTTCATATAATATATTTTCACTTTATACCAACTTTCGTCTGATTGGCTAATAATTGTCAGGGTCACTTAAGATTCGTTCAAAGGTCGTCCTTAAATTAGAGTCTCGCCGACCTATCCTTGACCATCAGTTGCACATTCGCAACGCAACTTTCGTGAAGCCCGCCAACTGTGGCACTGATCAAAACCATCTACATTCATATCCTATAAATTATCAACCCAGCTATGTAATTTACTACAGTGGATATTGTATCATTTGTACCAATTTGATCTTGCCTGTAAACTGGCATGCCTCATGTAACAAACTGTTATTTGAGAATAAATTATTATTATAAAGTGAATTACAACATGATCACTGTTCACTAGTGGGGGAAGGCGCTGAATGACAAAGACATCCTCACAGTGGTGGGTGAGGGCGAGGTCCAGCAGTGACGGATCATGTTTCAAGTCAATATGTGTCGGTTTTGTGATACATTGTACAAGTGCACACTAAATAACGGTTGATAAAAGGTCGCTATTGAAACCACCACATTGAGCTGTAAGCTCTATCCAGTTGATATGCAGTGCGTTGAAGTCCCTAATGATGAAACAACATTCTACAATACTCCAAGAACAGATGTGTCTTAAGATAACGTCGTCAGCAAGACAACACGGACTACGGTATATTCCCCCTAGAGTCACTTATCCATTTCCAGATTTAATTTTACAGCATGCCACCTCACAAGTACCACTAACATGAGCCTACGATATGATTGGTTAAGGACGGAATTGAGGAAGCTTTCTCTTAGCGATCAAAAGCAGTAAGTCACCAATATCTCCAGGCAGGAGAACCTAGGTATACTAACGCTAGTAGAGGAAAAAAAGAAAATGAAAAACCATAGGCTTCGGATCTGTTACACTAATGCCCGAAGCTTGTTCAACAGGCGATCGGAACTAGATGTGCAGCTTGACTCTACAAAGCCAAACATAATCACAGTCACAGAAACGTGGCTGATGCAATCTATAGATAGTATGAAACTTGATTTCGAGGGTCTTACGTTAGTAAGGGCCGACAGAATACAAAAGCGTAAAGGAGGGGGAGTAGCTCTGTTCATTAGGAATGCTATCCCATTTGATATTATCGACGGTGTATCCCACGAGAGTGGGACGTGTGAATTAGTTGGTCTCCGCTTGAAATGCAAGGGACAAGAGCTGCTGATTGGTTTGGTCTATCGCGGTCCAAGCTGTGAGGTAAATGGAGTCTTGCTAAGCAGTCTCAATACTTGGTCACAAAGTGGTCGATGTCTAATCCTAGAGGACTTTAATGCACCTATGGTAGACTGGGAAAATCTGTGAACTGAATTGTCAGATAATTCCTCTGAGCAGGAACTAATTGTTGCGGTTATCATATGTGCCCTAGTGCAACATGTGAAAGAAGTGACTAGGTACGACTTGGGCTCTCAATCATCCTTACCAGATCTTATACTGACTCATGATGCGGATGACGTTACAAACCTCGATTACATGCCACCCTTAGGTAAAAGTGATCATGTGGTTTCAAACTTTGATTTCCATATGTTTGTCAGTCACAAGCACGAGTCAGCTCAATCTAGACCTAACGTCTGGAAGGCAAACATACAAGATATCATGCACTCAGCATCGTCAGTAGATTGAACAACAGACACAGAGTTCTCAATTAAAACAGCTTGGGACGCATTTCGAAATTTATACTTAAAAGTTACCGCATCCCACATCCCTAGGATTACACCAAAGGGGCCGAGAAACTCTCCATCATGGTTCAGTAGGGAGGTCCGCATCCTTCTCCGTAACAGAAGAAAGATGAAGGATAGATTTAAGTTACTGGGGACTGATGAGACAAAATCTCAGTATCGAAAAGCTCGGAATACCTGTGCCTCGACCCTCCGTAAGTCCAGAAACTTGTACGAAGAAAAAATTGTTAGGGAATCCATAGGATGTCCTAAAGGCTCGTATTCCTATATAAACCAAAGGACAGAAAGAAGAGGGAATATTCCTGCACTATGCGGAGACAGTACTGCCACATCACTAGTGGAGGACGACTTTGGTAAGGCTCAAGTATTGTAAAACTACTTTAGCAATGTATATACCATAGAAACACCCTTCCCGTCAGTCCATGCAAATCCCCCCACACAAACACTGGACAGCGTGACCATTAACGAACTCGATATCAAATGAGCTAGTGAAGTTGATTGGGGAGTTTACCCAGGAGGAAAGGGTGGGAGTACTCTCTGATGGAAACTGTACGGAGGAAACAAATTTATGGTTTGCA